TTTAAATCTCCATTTCTGCTTAAGCTGATAGGAGTTAAGTTTTCTGTAACTGGCACAAAAAGGGGGATCTGACAAGTACATAGCATTGGGTCTATATAAACCTATATGAGCACATATATGGAGACCTATATATAAAGAGTCCACATTTTAGATATACCATTTTGAGGCTTAGGATGAGGCTTGGGCTTAGGTAAGTTTTGTGTACATATCAGGAGTAATATTTTTTTCATTTCAACTACTTAGCATTTTTTTTGGTCATAACAATTTCTAGCTGGAGATAGGAAATATGCACCTTTTTGTTTTTTAAATTTTGTAAAGGAGAAATTAATTCAGAGAGACTGTTCTACAATCACAAAAGTAACATTAAAAGTACAGTCCATACTATTATATTATAGTTATTCACCAGTACATGTTAGTTACATACATGTTACACACATATAAGTATGTCTTGCTTTCAAAGAACCACTATTTGAACTTGAGAACCAAATAGATATGTATGTGATTGTTAATCTGTCCCTGAAATTCTAATTCTCTTTTTTCCCTCCAGTTCCATTTACCACCTTCCAGTGCCACTATAAAGTTGTAAGACCCAGGAAGATGATATATAGAGCCACATCATCTTGGGTGTCCTTGCCCTCTGGCTTCTAGTTGGACATGGCCAATGGGAAATCAATAAGGAGTGTGTTTGGGGTTTTAATTTTCTCCCCCCACTGTGTGAATACTGTTGGTGCTACACCCACGTGGTTGTTTCTGTGTGTCTCTCTTTGTAGTTTCGATTTCCTCTGCTTCTATTGGCTAACACAGCTTTCCTCAGACAACCATCTTTGGACCAGTAGAGCCACTTCACTGTCTAGGTAGAGAGTTGGGAGGGCCTGGGAGTGTAAGTTCCTCTGAGAATTAGCCAATGGCTGGTGTGTGAGGATGATAGCCCAGTTCCCTTGCCATGAAATGGGACAAAATTCTGGTGTGATGACACTGAGGTATGATTTCACTCCAGAACAACCTGCAGGGTTGTGCTGGGGCTGGGCTTAGTCTGAATTTGGATTCTTGCAAGCTTTGTCTCGGTTCCTGTCTTGGTTTCCTTGTTTTCTTATGTATGGCTCAATTATTCATTTACACATGAATATTTGTCTCAAGGTCTGCTTCTAGAGAACCTCAACTAAGAACTCTCTTAGACCCCTTCAACTTCAGCAGCAGCTGATCCCCTCTACAGACAGATTCTGTTGGGCCTCTACTCTGCAAGTACTTCAGTTGTCACAGAGGCCCTGGGAATAACACTCCTTCTCTTTCTGTCTGTAGGTATAGGGAAGCTAACTGCTTCCTACTGGCCTGGCATTTGGATTCTTATTGATTCCCTTAATGCTGCCCAATAAACTAGTGTTTTCCTTTACTCTTCCTCCATTAAGCCCTCTGAATGTACTCTTTTTCTGGCTTGGGTAATGCAAGAATTGTCAGAGAATCTTCTCTGCTCCTAACTCTGCCATTTGCAAGCTGAAAGTTTAGAAACAAATTGATATAGGTAACTAGGTATCCCTTGTCATCTAAACCTTCTATCAACATCTCCATCTGAACTCAAGGATCTAACAGAATTTGGATAGTGAGGATAATTATACACATACTCATACACACACACACACACACACACACATACACACACACATACACACTTTACATACGGAAGAACAAGGTAGAATTAGCACACATTTCTTATCAAAACCATTTATGGCTTATGCCAGAAGACTATAGAATAACATCGTTAAAGCACTAAAAGAAAAAAAAATCAATGTATAATTTTATTTTCACTGAAACTATCTCTCAAAAATAAAGACAAAATGAAGGCTATTTCATATAAACAAAAGCCAGTAGAGCTCCACTACAAGAAACGTTAAAATGACTTCTGCAGCAAGAAGAAAACTGATTGTCAATGGAGGATATGAGACTAAGAAAGGAATCAAGAACACTGGAAATGGAAAATACATGGAAAATATCTTAAAGCCATTTTTCTCATTCTGCCATGTGTAGAAGTAAAATGAATGACAATAATTGCACCAAAGACTAAAGGGGAAATAGATAAAACATCCTCAAACCACACGTGGACTTGAAGGTAGACTGACTAGAGCAAGCATGAAAAATAGGGCCGGGGATTTAGCTCAGTAGTGCCACCGCCTGCCTTGCAAGCTCAAGGTCCTGAGTTTGATCCCTGGTACCAAAAAAAAAAAAAAAAAAATGTTCCCTGCTTGCCTCGCAAGCATGAAAAATAAACAAATAAGTAAAAACAACAAAACTAGAGAAGCATAGCTAATACAGTGAAGATAGAAGGGGATCATAAAAAGGAAAAAGAAGGGAGCAAAAGAAAAAGAAAGAACCAATAGGACAAATAATAAACAGCAACTCAGTGTATTTAAACCTAACCCCATTAATTATTATGTCAAATATAAATAGTATAAATATTCGAGTTAAAAGACAGAGATTGCAGTTTAGATTAAAAAAACCTACATGTTTTCTATAAGAAATCCATTTTAAATAAAAAACACACAGCTAATTTGAAGGAAGAGGATACCAAAAGATGACTAAAAACAATAATAAAAATCTAGAAATGACTATTATTAACAAAGTAGACTTTAGAACAAGGACTATTACTGGATTTGAAAAGAAACATTGCCTAATTATAAAGAAAGCAACTTATTAAGAAGTCATAGCAATCTTTTTTTTATTGAAGAATCCTGTATTTATTATGTTTTTTTTATTAAATTCTTTTATTGGTACATTGTAGGTGTCCAACACAATTATATTTCTCATTGGGAATTGTACCTTTACATAATGCATCTTGGTTCTTATTTTTTCCCCATTCCTAGCCCTCCCTTCACCCCCTCCACCCTTCCCTATTTACAAAGACTTTATTTCCATTTTTTCCATTTCTCATCATTTTTCCTTTCCCTTCTTTCCTTTCTCCTGCCTCTCCCACTACCCCTACCCTTTTGGACCTTTTTTTCCTATTTTGCATTATCGATTATTCATTCTAATCATTGGTACATTTTAGGTATACAATATAATGACATTCATCATTGGAAATTTGACTGGATCAAGAAAATGTGTTTTTATTAATAAAATGGAGTACTACTCAGCCATAACAAATGAGAAATTAGAGACATTTATAGCTAAGTGGATGCACATTGAGGCGATACTCTTAAGTGAAATAAATAGGACACACATGTATAAATACCAAATAGTTTCTCTGGTGTGAGAAACTGAAAGTGTAAATAAGGACTAAATGTATGATAGGTAATGTGAAATAGGAAGAAAAGGGGCAAAGAGGAAGGAAGTGCGAGGGCTAGGGGAAAGGATAGAAGGGAATGGGATTAATATGAGAAAACGGAAAAAATAAGAACCAAGAGAGATTATGTAAAAGTCATAGCAATCTTAAATATGTCTACATCCCATAAGAGTTTCAAAATTTATGAAGCAAAAACTGAAAAAGTAGAGAACTTTGCAATTACATTAGAGATTACAATACTCTTTTCTTTGGAATGTTAGAACAAGTTGTCAAAAATCAATAAGCATGTGAAAGACTTGTAACAACATTATCAACCAAGTTGACCTAATTGATGTTTATAGAATGCTTTGCCCAACAATAGCAGAACTATTCGCAAATATAGACCAAATTTATGTCAAAAAAGTAGTAGTCTCAAATAATGAAATATATTTTAGAAAATTAAAATCATACAGAGCATGTTCCCTAATGACAGTGGAATTATACTAAAAATCAAACAGCAAGCCATCTGGAAAAACCTCAAATGTGTGGAAATAAATAATGCTTTTAATTACCTATGACTTAAAGAAGAAATCACAAAAGAAAATTAGAAAATATGTTAATGGGATGAAGTAAAAACTATAACACATCAAAACCTTTGGTTTACCCCAAAAGTACTTTGAGAGAAATTTATAGAATTAATTACTACTATATCAGAAGATGAGAAAGGTCTTAGGTAATGATTTAAGTGTTCACTTTCACAATTTAGAAAATAAGAATGAATTAAACTCAAGGTAAAGAGAATAAAAAATAGTAATGACAGAACCAAAATCAAGGAACTGGAAAACAAAAAGTAATAAATTATACCAACCCAAAATCTGGTTTTTTGAAAAGATCAAAACAATTACAACAACAACAATAATAAAAATGATGCAGTCCTTGTCAGCTTGATAAAGGAAAAATGAAAAGACACCAAATACCAACATCGGGAGTCACCAATGGATATATTACAGTTATTTAAAGGTAATAGATGAATATAATAAATAAATTTATGATAAATTTTATAACTTAGAAGACATGAAAAAGTTTCTTCAAAGGCTCAATTTACCAAAGCATAGTCAAGGAGAAATAACTGAACTAAATTCAACTCCCAAGCTCATTTTATAAAGTCACCATTATCCTCAAACCAGGCAAAGCTATTGCAATAAAAGAAATTTACTGGCCAATCTCTCTATTGGATTCAAATGCAAAATTATCCCAATTTGCTCAACTCGAATCCAAAAAGTTATAAAAATAATAATACATTAAAACTAATAACAAGGGCCGGGGATTTAGCTCAGTGGTTTCACTGCCTGCTACGCAAGTGTAAGGACCCGAGTTCGATCCCCGGTACCAAAAAAAAAAAATAAATAAAACTAGTAACAGTTATTCTAGCATTATTTATTGTAGCAAACTTTAAAATCACTTATTCATAGAAGAATGGATGACTAAAAGATATTTTAATAGTTAGTAAATATGTCATTGAGAAAAAAATGTTGACATTAGAAAATGCTAACGATATCATGCCCAGGGAAAGTAAAAAGGATATTCTTTCAACACATACACAGTGAGCACAGCAGAGAGATACACCAGATGTTATGAAGGCTTGCGTCGACCCCAAGATGCCCTGCCCAGTTGGCTTTTGCCCCAGCTGCTGTGTTAGTTGATATGACTGAGTGGCACTCTTCTCATAAGAATTCCGTTTCCACAGGTTACACCACCACCCTCCCTGGATGCAGTGTGCAGTCAGTGAAGGTCTGATGTAAGTGCTCAGTCCTCTTGATCAAGGGGAGATGATCTGTGGTATCATCCTAGACTCTAGGGATAAATCTCCTCCAAAGGATCAGCCTGAGGCCAAGTTTCAGCTGAGCCCATTTCAGTCTCTTCCCCTGCTGTGTCCTGCTTCCTCACACTTTAGAAGTTTCACTTGAGAGCACCTCATCATGAAGTCACTTGCATAAGAAACCTCTTAGTCAGCTACCAGGGCACCTGACCTAAGGCAGTTTGTGCCAGGAAGGATGCGAGAATGAGACCCCCATGATGGGATTCTGGAGTTGGTTCACTCACCTGCCAGATGGAAATGAGGAATTCGTAACTCCTCCTGGTAGGCATTGGTAATTCTTGTTGTGCTATCATAGCGTGCATGCCCAAACTTTCACTTGTAGAGAACAGGGACAGAATAAAGGGCAAAGTGGGAGGCAGCAGGTAGTTCAAACTGTGTCTCTGGGATTGGAAAGATATGAGCAAAATTGACTCTAAATGCTGTGGAGTTGAAATTAAAGGAGAGTAGGCGTGTCAAAGAGACGGCACTTAATGGGACCATGTTTCCTTTTCCCAGAGGTGCAGCATGAGCTGAGTGCCAGCCACAATTGTAGCAGAAGAAGAAACCTAAGAGAGACTGAATTTTCCGTACAGGCAAGTCCTCTCTTACAGTCAGAACACTGGTCTCAGGCTTAGGATAAAGGTATCTAGATAAAGGAATGTCCCATGAACCTTGGTCCACCTGAACATCTTCGGCCTGCTACCTCTCCCCCTTGCCTGAATACTATGGAAAACCTGAACCAAGGCAGATACCTATAAGACAATTTTTTCCACCTTTGGATTTGTCCTCACCTCACCTCTTGATATGGGGACTAGTAACTAGGGGATAAGCTAAGTGTGCCCTTACTGAGGAAGTGCTAGGGCTGTAAAAGAAGGGAGGACTACATGCCAAAGGAGGTTGCATAACCTGGATGGCACAGACCAGCTGGAATCAGACAGTATTCCTGGGAGAGAATCTTGAAGGAATCTTATTCAAGGGAGTTGGGTGAAATATAAAGTTGCATAATGGAGAATTTGCCAAAATGTGAGTGATTTCCCATAAAACAGGACTTAGTACTCTGCCAACGGCTTCAGGATTCTGCTCTTATTAATCTGCTACTAGAAAGGGCCCTGGCATTGTGTGAAAAAGCAATCACCCACATTAAAGGAAGCACTGCATGAAAGATGGGATCAAAAAGCAGAGAAAAGTGAGCTACCTAGAAAGGTCATACATAGAAAACAGGAATGCACCCAGCTGACAATTCCTTGGGAGATTGTTATGGCCTAAATTTTGTCCCTTCCAAATTCATTTGCTGAAGCACTGACCTCATGTTATTGGATGAGATCCCAAATGCCCCGGAAAACACTGTAACATTCAAGGGAGGGGCTTTTGGAAGGTGCTTGGATTGTGGGGCACTGTACTCATCCATGTATTAATCCACTGCTGAATTCCTGGTGGAATGTGCTGCAGGGACTGGGGCCGGGTTTGGAGGTCAATCACAGGGGTGTGATCTAGAAGGGTATGTTCTTGTCTCTGTTCCCTTCCTTCTCTCTCTGTTTCTTGGCAGTTATGGGTTGAGCAGTGTAGGGGGCCCTGCCCCCCCCCCCCCCCCCCCCCCGCTGGAACTCTTGAGTGCCTTCTACGGACATGCCCAGAACTCTTGAGTGCCTTCTACGGACATGCCCGGGCTTGTTGCAGATCTACCCGGCAACAAGGAAGTAGCCCCAGTACACTCCTCTTGCTCCTCCCCTCTCGCCCTACGGTATATATGTTGTAACAGCTTCCGTAATAAACGAGACTTGATCAAAAACCTGTCTTGTCTCCATCTCTCGTGTCCCCTGTCCCCTCTCATCCTCGCTCCCCCTCTAGGGTCTCCGTTGACTTACCCGCGGGCCGGGACAGAGCAGCCTTCCTCAGCCACATCCTTCCATCATGCCGTTTCTGCCCTGAAGCCAGCATCATAGAGTAAATCCGCTGGAAAACACCGGAAACTGTGATCCGAATAAACCTCTCCTCCTTTAAATTGTTGGTGTTGGGTATTGTGTACAGCAACAAAATAGCTAATACCAAACTTGTGTCTCTATTTGGAGGTAGGCCTTCTAAGAAGAATTTTTGAATAAGTATGCCTATTTTTCAGGGCCCATGCAAAATGAGAAGAGCCACAGGCAGGGCTTGTGGGGTAAAGGAAGCTGACGGAGGCTCATGGAAATTACTAAACTTGAGGGTAAACACAGAATCACCTCAAAAGATGAGATACATTCATTGTATCACAGTATGAGGTAAAATAAAGTAATCTCACTTTAAAATCTGTGCAGGACCTAGATCTTTCCAAAAGACAGATTGGGTCCTATACGAGATTGTGGACAGTGAGACCTTCAGCCTTGAGAACAGAATTCCTCACAAAGACAAGGGTTTGTGAAGCCAGTGGTTATCTCGCTCCCAACCAATGGGGAAGTGATGAGGAAGAGTGACAAGAGACAGCTGTCTGCTCTGGAAGACACACAGGAATGGCCCTAGTAGCAGGAGAAACCCAATAAATGCTAGAATTTTATGGATTTATGAGATATTCTCAAATCTATACCTATATCCCAATATGCATCTCACATGTGACTCTACATAATTTAAATACTACTAATAAAATATAACATTTAGTATTTTCTAAGAGATAAACAAAGACAGTACTAAGCCTAATCCTCTATGGTACTGCTATATAGTCATCACTTGGGAGATTTAGTGATGCAGTGTCTTTAGTCAGATAAAAGATTCCCTTTGTTTAATTGACGTTGTGTGTGTTCTATTAGTACAAGATATGATAGTTCAAGTTAATGATAGAATTTCCATTAGCTAAAAGATAACCATTAACTTAGGCACTGGGTTTTAGCTATGCTTCAGTGCTATGAATCCTGGGTGGGTCCCAGAACTTTAGGGATGTCACAGATAGGTCATAGAGCATTGCCAAGGCTTTTGTCATAACAGATATCTTACCAACCGCAGTGTGTACTGAGCATTAGTTACTCAGGAGGGTGTTTAGTGAGCAGACAGCCTCTTGGATTAGAGATTGTTATACAAATGTCATTCTTTATCATCATCATCTAACTTTTCAAGAGCAGAGTTAAGAAAGAAACTTTCCTAATATCACCAATTATCCAGTTGAATCATGAAACACAAAAGAAAAATAAAACATCTGGAACCTTCATTGTTAAACTAAACAGAAAAGAGACCAAGAGGTAAGTGTTAGCATATTCTCTGGGAATAAGGAACCAGGAATTGCCTTTTAAATAGGAAAAAGAGCAGATTTCTAGTTTGTAGTGCAGTAGTGGAGAACAGAGAGATAAAGAGGGAAAGAAGTGACTGAAGAGGGAAGCCTGTGTGTGTGTGTTTGTTTGTTTGTCTTCCTGAGAGAGGAGGTAATGTGAGTGACGAAAAGTTTGAGATGACCCAGGTCTTTTCTCAATGGCCTAGGGCTTGGGTTATCTATATAGAGTCACTCTGGGTTTTGGTGTTACAGATGTAGTCTAGACTAATTTTTCCTTTAAAAGTGCATTTTCTGTCATTTGACTTCTTCCTAAGGGCACCAGGGAAGTAAACGATGTTGTAAATTTTCTAGCAGAAGTTTTTTTTTTGGTTCTGTTTAATTAATTAATTAATTAATTAATTTATTTATTTATTTTT